GGTGCACACGCGAGGGTTTAGGGTTGGGGTCGTTTATGGACTTCAGGTTTTATTCTGGGGTTGCATATATTGGGTTTCGGGCTGAAGGCGCGCCTAAAATCAGGCCCCCTGGCATGTTTTTTCTTTGAGGGGAGCAGAGGATGTCAGAGGATTCACCGCTAACAAAGACAGCTTAAGCGAAGTTTAATAAACCCTACATTACCCTACATAACCCTATATAACCCTATAACACCCAACATAACCCTGTATAACCCTATAATACCCCTAGTTAAATGTAGTGATCTTCAAGCCAATGGCCAGATACTCGATTTTCATCAGAAAAATGTCGTGACTCTGGAAGGATTTTGGCTGATTAGTGTTGGAGCCTGGAAGGAAGGGGTGCTCCTTTTTAGGCATCCTGAGATCAGAACCTTCAAATTCTGGGTCATGCCGAAGTGGACTCCTACCTGTAGAAGCGCAGTTCAACCCACAAGAAGGACAGCGAGTATGGAATACCCTGTGGCTCTAGGGTCCATCCTGGAGCAGAAGCAGGAAAGCAGAGCAAAATGCTCTAAAGCTATTCAGTTTTGCCTTGAGCAGCTTCTTCGGAGTTTGGGAAGGAGGTTGTATGTTCAGGCATGCAAAGCTTTGAGCGCCAGAAGCTACTTACTTTGGCCTCCATTTGGTGTGCTTTTCAAGCTTCGTGCCATTTCCGCCAGCAGTCATTTATGATTATTGTTACTATTATTGTTCTTATTCTTATTATTATTAGTAGGTTTTCTGTGTTTCTTGAATGGTTTAGTGCGGCGTGCGAAGCAGCCAAAAGTTCTGAGTCACTGCCGACGTCGGGCTTTTTCATGAGCAGCTTTGGGATTGGGATAATAGTTCAGGGTTTAGGGTTTAGAGTTTAGGGTTACAAGATCCCAGGGACCAGCAGCTGACACCTGCCACCCTCAAAGTGTCCCAAAGACTCCCAAAGTACAGCACTTTTTGCCAGTTCAGGTCGCCTCATGAGATTAAACCGCCGGTCCCTAGAATCCTTCCCCGTGATCCCGATAGTCCTTCTGAAAACTCGAATCCCCAAGCCTAGACATCACACAGCCGAGCTTAAACCCCAAACCCTAGATGGTAGTTTCCATTTTCTTTCCATTATCCCTATAAAACCCCAGTATAACCCCAACGTAACTTTAATATAACCCAAACATAACCCTAGTATAACGAGGTTCATGAACTACCAGAAGTACATGGGCGGAGTGTCTCGGCCGCGCTAAGGGTATGTCGGCCTGCGGTGATTTGCTCTTGAGCAAGCAACTCTGGCTCCTTGCAGCCAGCCAGAAACTAATAGGAGTATTTTGGTAACCCCAACCCGCAAAATAAGGACCCGGTAAATATCATATGATAGTCATGGGGTCCTAGTTTTGGGGGGTTGGGGTTAGCAGAATTCTTTTCGTAGAAACCATACATCCAACCCTACTCTACAAGGTGCATCTTGGAGAGCCCTGACGTATATACGATGCCAGCAGCCTAAATCATAGGGCCTAACTGAGCCTAAATACCAATAACATTCCAGTATTTGGGCCCGAAAGCCATATTATTTGGGTCCTTGGACCCTGAAAGGTAAACCTATACCAATAAGATTCTAGTATTTGGGCCCTGAAGCCATTTTATTTGGGTCCTTGGACCCTTAAAGGTAAACCTTAAACCCTAAATCCTAAACCCTAAACCCTTAAACCCTAAACCCGGTAATCCAGGGTTCCAGGCCCCATGAAAGGGCCCGGGCATTGCAACATTTGCCTGGATGAAGCTGCCAGGATGGGCCAGAGAGCTTCATGGACTACTCCAAATACACAGGCCCTAGGGTCATATGAGCTACGTACTAAATTTAGTTTGGGGGAAGCTATAGGTGATATATAGGGGGACCTATTTAAGGGATATACTACGAATTTAGTCCAGGGGAGTATATAGGGATTATATTGGGGATACATTGGGGGTATAAGGGGGATTATATTGAGGCATTGGGGTTATGTAGGGATTATCTTGGGGTTATGTAGGGGATTATATTGGGGTTACATTGGGAATATATAAGGATTATAGATTTTTTCTTTGTTTCTTGGTGTATGGGGGAGTCTTGTGGACAAGGTTGTGGGGTTTCGGTGATGAATTACATGGGCGAAGGACCCCCCCCTTTTTGAGTAGCAGGGACTAGCCATGGATGAAAAGGGACTTCTGCAGGGTCCAGGACATCTTCACCCCAATGGTCCCTTATTGGGGACTTCTTGGCAGTGATCCCATGCTTTTGGGATTTGCAGGCATCCTGACTTTCAGGTTTTGAGGCTTGGCACTTGCGGGAAGCTATTGGTACATTTGATAAGAAGCTTTATCTGACAAAGCCTGCATATTAACAATCTGGGTTCCGGACCTAGGGGCTGCACCCGAATGTCCCAAGTTTTTCCCTGAAGGCGAGCAAAATGGAAGGAGGCTCAAGTTTGCAATATAGACTATATACCCCCAATGTAACTCCAATATAATTCCCTATACAATCCCAACATAATCCTTATGTAACCCCAATATAATCCGTACCAGTCCAAGCCGGTATTTCCTGAGCTAATTCCCGGCAGCTGCTTTGCAACGACAGGTGGGGCAGGCGGGGCTGGAGACTATGAGCGTCTCGGCAGCCTATTGCCCGGGTCCCTTTAAAGTGACCTCATCTGACCTTACCCTAAATAGTAGTTTTATTAGGGAGTAATACCAAAATGGCCCTATTGGGAATTGAAATTATTCCAAATTACCCTGTTATTGCCCGGGTCCCTTAAAAGATCTGGACCCGGCTCCAGGCTTCAGCAAAGCCAAGTGTAGAACAGTTTGCTTACCTGCCAAGCATGCGGCAACGCTGCCTGAGTACCTCTCTACTTCTGTCGGCCTAGGGATTCCCTTTACATAGAATATTCTGGATTATATTCTTGGGATAATGGAAAAGAAAATGGAAACTACTATAATGGGTTATATTGGGGTTATAGTGGGGTTATAGTGGGATATCCCTTGAGTAGTATTGTATTTGGGGATACTATGGTACCCAATAGGGTTACACTGGGATAATGGAAGATAAAATGGAAACTACTATAGTATATTGGGGTATATATTAGGGCTATAACAGGGTATATATGGGGATTTTATTCTTGGGATAATGGAAAAGAAAATGGAAACTACTATTTAGGGTTTAGGGTTTAGGGATAGAATATGGGGTCTATGGGGGCATTGACTTGATGGAAGACAGATCACCCTGACTGATGCAGAATCCGCTTTGCTGCATGAGGAAGTACATGAACTTCAACAAGGACATGGACTGGCAGCAGTACATGAACTACCAGCACTTTATCTCAGGCATCGGTGCGTTCCCTATGGTTGAGCCGGAACTGTATCCATAAATGTAGGCAGGGTGGCTCTTGTGCTACATGCTCTCCATAGGATAGATTTGCTCACAAAGAGCCTGGAATGTGGAGCGCGCTGCTGTGAGAGGAGAAGCGGTTGTTTTTGATCAAGCCTCTGCGGGCGGCATGAGACAACGATGGAATTTGCAATCATGTCATTGGAACAACAGCAGAATGCTGCTAGTCGTAGTAGCCACGGAAGCAAGACAGCAAGAATTTCAGCCCAGTGATGCTCACTAGCCATGGTCGCAGAAGCAGTTTAGCAACAAGATCCTTCCGCCTGCTGGAGGTTGTATTGTTTAGTATATTCCCTCCATATCACCTCCCCCCCCAATAACGGAGAATCAAATGGAAAAGAACATGGAAAATGACATGGAAACTTGACAGGAAATGGCCAAGGGTCTGGTGCAGATTTCCAGAGCCTCGGTCCTGAAGGCAAAGGTCTAGTGTTAAAGGGACAGGTCCGCGGTGACCCTTTTGAGATCTTGTTGGGAGTATAGTCCCCCTTAAGCAGATAGAATGTGGCTTTGGGTATATTGTAATAAGATCCCCCTATACCCCATATTCTATCTACTTAAGGGGCACCCTAAACCCTAACCCTAAATGGTAGTTTCCATTTTCTGTTCCAGTATCCCAATAATCTAATCGCCATATTCTATCTACTTAAGAGGGACTGAAGACGATGGTTGCCAAGCATCTTTTCTTTTGGCTCTGGCTGAGCAAGGGGCGAACGAAACCAGACTTGTATCTTAAGCATTGCGAGAATTGCGCAGTTTTCGTGTGATCTCGCAAAAACAGATATGTCCCTAACTTTTTAAGATATAAACGTCATATATGGCGTGAACTTATCAATAAGGGGGTGGGGGTTTGCCATGAAGGGAGGGGCTTAAGAAGGTCTCAGACTCGGCTTGAATCTGGTTTGTGGCAGCTTCTTTACGGCGACCAGTTTTTAGTAAATTGCTAGCGGTGCCGGAGGAAGGACTTTACACGGGAGGTTCTCAAACTCGTCCCCAAGCAAAACCTCTATAATCCCTGCATATCCCTCCGCTCCCTAATGGCCCCTCCTTCTGAGAACCCTTCACATGAACCTCACATGGGGGGTGGGGGGGCTACAACGATGAGTGCCTGAATTTGCAAGTGTGGCCCTACTCAACCCCAATATAACCCCAATATGACCCTCATAACCCCTCTATAACCCTTATATCACTACAATATAACCCCAATATGACCCTTATACAACT